TTAGGGGGAGGGAGTGAATGGGTGAGTGAGGGAGGGAGGGAGGGAATGAGTGAGTGAGGGGGAGGCAGGGAGCAAGCAGAAAGCAAGTGAATGGGTGAGAGTAAGTAAGTACAAATGAGCAGTTTCTCTCACACTAATAAGCAAATATCTCATAATCGAAATTCAGTGACGTCATTCTACGTCAGCCAGCTCTACACGAAACATTGGGTCCTGACCTAAGCCAAGGGCGGGATTATGGCAACACAATGTGGCAGTTGTTTTCATCATCAAGATGCTACTATAGATGATGGGTGGGGTCAAGTTGATGACCAAACTAAACAACGCCTAGCCTACCCCTCACCGCTCACAGCACTCAGGGATACGGAACTTTGACAACCGGAACAAAACTCTTACTCAACCCTCGTCTAACGTTTTTATTACACATTACAACATACCGCCAGAAGTAGTTATGTATCGGAAGCGCTTTTTAGTGCGTTTGTTTCTGACTCATGTGAAAAGTATGGGAAGTGTAAATAATGTAGATAAATGGGATGGGAAAAAATATATATCATGAAGACATGACCGTCGTTCATCGCTGATGTTACTTTTGTAGCTTTTGTTTTTAGGGGGGGGGGTTCTTTCATTTTTCTTGTTGTTATGTTTCCTCTTCTCTAACTACCAGACACTGCACACGCCCTTCTATCTTGGCCACAATAAAAACTGGGACTCCTCTTCGAATGCAGCTTCCACAATAAAAATAATTCAGACACACTGGCATCCTTCAATGTTATAACACAGAGCCCGTTCACCCTATCTATAATCTGTGTATAACTTCGAATGTACTTTGTAGATTTTGAATGAATTAGAATAGTAAGGAGGGGGGGGGGGCTGTTGCATCCAGAACGAGACAGTTTAGTTAATTCCGAAGGCGGGCTTTGCTCATGGCCAACCCATGCTGAATGAGAAGGATAAAACGTCCCAGCAGAAAGATTGAGAAAAAAAATCCCCCCCACGCGTAAATGGAGCTAGTTTTCAATGTGGGGCAGTGAAGTGCCTAACCGCTAATTAACAGACGTCCACGTGGGTTTTATTTAAAATATCCCTAAAAGTATATAGCTTAAAGACTAGATACCAGCAACAGCATTTCGGCAATAACTGGGACCTCTATCTATCTATCTATCTATCTATCTATCTATCTATCTATCTATCTATCTATCT